GTGCAGCTAGAAAACTCAGGCCAGAGACAGGAGTTGTGGCAGAGCATGCAGCCCTGATCCGGATGTGGGAGCCCTGAGTCCCAGCTCCAGATCCCCGGGGGGGGGGAAAGAAAAAAAAAAAAAAAAGCAGACACATGTACATATCCAGTCCCAGCCAAAATACAAAATCAGTTATATTTCACTTAACATCATTGGTTTAGTATAAAAGATTCTGTTTTGATAAATTATCTTGCACATGCTGTGCTTTTAAAAGCAAGACCCTGAAGTCTCAGGCCCACTTTTTTATTTAAGCAGGTATATTTGGTCTGCTGGCCATAAGCATATGCATAGCGTGTTCTACACAATGGAGCTAGTCATTTCAAGGTTTTGTTTGCTAATTCAAGATAATCCGACCGCGAGCTTGACCTGCATCCTACCAGGCAGTCTTGGGTGTTAACTTCACCTGGTATCATTTGCTTTCTGTGAAGCAGCCTTGTTCGTTTGAACAGGAAGTCAACACTGCAGCTTTATTCAAATCTACAGCTAATAAGTATCTAATCCAATTATTACCAGAATTGGTTACAGAGAATTCCTTCATGGCACACTTGCTGCAATGCTTCCAGAAGGCGCTGTCGCCAGGCTGGTGAACGAGGTGATGAGCTCCACCCAGAGCGTCGACCTTCTGCCAACACTGTCACCTGGGCATCCTTGGCCTCCCATGCTTGACTCAACCACCTGCAGATAAAAAATAACAGAAAAAAATTAAGTCTGCACTAATCGCAGAGTTCTTGCCATTGTTCCCTAAATAATCCCACATAACAATTATTTGCATGGCTTACAAGTACCTGAAAATGATTTCAAGGTACAGGTAGGGGTTGGGGACAATTCAGAGAAGCAGCAGCCTGGACGCCCGGCATGTGCACCATAGGGTTGAGCTCCGATGAGAATCCAATGCCCCCAGGCTGGTCTGACAGGACGCGGAGCTCAGGCTGTAGTGAGAAGGACAGGGGTCCGCTGGCAACATTCCCTGCCACTGACCTCCTGCTGCACAGCCCAGGTCCAAACCAGTCTGTTGCCCCCTCAGGTTGGGGACCCCTGGGATGAGGAATTTGCTAGAAAAACAAGGCCCAGGATTTGAACTCAAGTGCTGTCCTAGCACTCTGACTCTAAGGCTACAATCTCAGCCACTTACAATGTTCAGATCAAGTCTCTTACATAAAATGGCATGTCATTTACATGTAACCCACACACATCCTTCCATGTACTAAAATCATCTCTAGATTATAATACCCAGGACAGTGTAGATACTATGTGCATAAACTGTTACCCAGCATTGTTTAAGGAGTGATAGGAAAAACATTATAATGTGTAGTACAGACCCTTTGGGGAAAAAATACCTGTTTTTTCTGGAGTCAGGGTCTCATCCTGACCAGTGTGGAACTTGTGATCCTCCTGCCTCAGCCTCCTAATGATACAGGGAGAAAAACTGATCTCATGTGGGTGACCTCCAAACAATATAGGGAACCTCCAAATGACATAGGGAAAAACGATCTCCCAGCCTGACCTGCATGAGTTTGTATTCTCTAAAACTGAAGAATGAATTTTAGGAACAAATGGAGGTTATGAGCAGAATATTTTTTTTTCAGTTATTGATATGTGAGTTTTATTTCTCGTGGACACATTCTGTTCTGGAGAACTCCAAGAGTTTTCTTGTTTCCGCTGGATGCAGGCTGAGGCACTATCACCTCCTCTTTCTGCTGTAGCAATAAAGACCATGAAGGGCCACCCGCTTCCTTGGTAATTTCCTCTTCTGGACACAGGGCACTGTCCTTGCTCTTCCTATCTCTTTGGAGACCTCTTCTGGCTGTGTGTCCCTGCTTTTATCTCTGTATCTTCTTCCCCAGAAAGATTGTCTAATTTTACAGTGCCAGTAATTACTTCTGAGCAGCAGCTCCCCAAGTTACCATCCCCTTCAATTCACTGGAGACTCAGGCACAAAAATCAGCAAAGCAGGAGGAGCTTCCCTCTGCCGGCTTCCTCCACGTCTACAAACCATTGGATCAAATGTTGACATCATTTTGACTTCTGCCTCTTTTTCTGCTATCCACATCAGTCAAATCTGATAAAAGTTCCCTTTGAGGTAGCAATTCTTAGGTGGGGATCATGGACCGATCTGAAACTCCAGGCAAAGCTGAGTGTGTACATTTCAGCCTAAAGGGCTGTGGCTTTCATCAGTTTTTCAAAAGATTCATAACTCCGTGGGAGTGTATACATTCTTCTTTTCCACCTTCTATCATGTGGCCATTAGCTTATGACAATAGTTCCCTGGTTGGTCCCCTTGACACTGGTACTTTGTCTCGTCCAGTGCTTCCTGTACCTGACTGTTAGGAAAGTCTCTGTGTGTGCATAGGGAACAGGACCCAGAGTCCCTAGGTTGACTGTACCCGGAACACAGCAGCTGTGCCACATGTGACCTGGGGCCAGCTTCCCGGGCTTCATCTTTCCTGTGCACTAACAGCACTAGTGAAACACAACTGGTTCTGAGGCAGGCAGTGCAGAACACAAGAAAGAAGAATCCAGTGTGAGTTCTGCCACCAAGGAGGTGAATAACTTCAAGTTTTCTGTCTTTCCAAAAACTCGGGTATCTCAGCTGGAAATGGAAAGATCAGCACACTCCACGCTGCGCCTGCGCTGGGACCAGTAGTAGATCCCGCCGGCGCAGGGTAGCCAGAAGCTCTCCCCACACTCACCGGACCTGGGCTAGGACTGGGTCTGGGGGTTCCCGGAAGGTGGCAGAAATTAGAATATATTTATTGAGAGAAAGAAAGCTCCTGTCCAAGAGAGGGACAGGAGAGGGGCCAAGTGGGTAGTTCCCCGGGAAGCTGTCTCTTCCAGGGACTTTTATAGTGGAAAACCATGTGAGGCTAAGGTAGAGAGAATGGGAACTCGCTTAGGTGGGCAGGAGGTGGGACAAAGCTATGGTCAACCAATGGGATTACAAGCACCACTGCTCAGGTAAGACTGATTAAACCCAGTATCAAATAGGAAATCGAGTCACGTAGCAAGCGGGCATGAATATGGGACAGGGTCTTCTCCTGTTGGGGGTTTGAATATGGGACAGGGTCTCTTTCTGTTGGGGGTTGGGCTAGTGACTCACTTGGGTCTTTCTAGGTGATCATACCTAGTTAGAATATCAATCCCAGATACTACTCTTTTAGCATTTGTTTGGCCTTTAGGTCTTTAGGTCTGGTTCACAGCCGGAGCATCTGCCCCTCCCACAGTTGTAAGGCATCTCCTCTTTTGTGCTGTCTCCTTCGAGGGCCTGGCCCTGTCTGACTGCCTATAATATTTTTCTCTAACTTGGCTGCCTGCAATACTAGCACACAGGAATTGCAGGTGTCAGTCACTATTTCTGAGTTAGACAAATATTTATTTTTTTTTTAAGACAAATATTCCTTACCATGAACTTGGAGCCTGTGCCCCTGGAGGGCCAAGGTGGATGGGGATAGAAGAGGACCCCTGTGTGCTTAGGACACAGTTACTGATGGCCCCCTGATGCCGCTACTTGACCTCACTCGCCATGGATTCAGACACGGGCGCTTGTGACTGTCAGTGGGTTGGTTGCTGCTTCCCTACTCCTGACTGCGTGGAACTAACCAGCTTTTGTGTTCAGAGGTCAGGTGCCATCTCTCAGCAAGCAGGCCAGTGTTACATATTGGTCTCCACCTGTTGGACTCAGTGTCTGGCAAAGAGGATTCAGTAATTCATAAAGAAGGGAAGGAGAGAGAGAGGGAGAGAGGGAGAGAAGGAAGGAGAGAAAGGAACTTGGCTCTCTAACATTCCCAAGGAGATGTCTATTTTGATGAGAAGCCAAACCATATAGACCTATCATGATCAATCAAGACTCAGAGCGAGAGCCAGGAATCACCCTGATGACAAAGCCTTTAGACCCCCAAAGTTCTCCGGACACCCAGCTGTTGAACATTTCCCAGCACCCCCCTGGCAACAATGCCCTTGTGGAACTAGAAAGCTTTGCATTCGGGTGCGGAGGGACAGAAGCCTGTGGGGCACGGAGGGTCTCTGCAGGCATGGACACCGTCTGCCTGTGGAAGCCACCCTGAGGCCCACCAGACCTGTCATACGCACAGCCAGCCCTGTCACCTCTCTGGGCCACACCTTTAGCATCCTTCCCAAAAGGACTATCAAAGCATCCTCAGAGATGTTTCTCTGGTTGTGGTCGATTGTCTCTAATCTACTAAAATCAACTAATAATAAAATACATGACGTCCATGATTTACCAGCCATAAAGCTAAGCAGTGGAATGGGCCACTTGCTTCACAATTTTATGACAGAATGTACATGTGACCTTGCAGCTTGGTGCCGGTTACATTTCTATTTACATGGAGACTGGGGACAATTAGAACATTTATCTCACTTAGTCACTGATTACTCCTGCCCCCAACCTTCCCCTCCCTCTTCCCAAAAGAAATGAAAAAACGTTTTCATTATGAACCCATATCTGTGAGTGAGAGCAGCTATTTTTTGAAAATGACGTCATACAGCCTAGAATGCTACATTGTTCTGGCCTCGGAAAACACTCAATGGGCCTTTTCTGTTCCCTCCTCCCCCTCAGCCCAGCGCTGCCACTTATTTTTAGAACTGCTGTTTACCATCTAGGGAAACGTCTATGCATCCATATCCTTTAATGCTGCATGCTTTCCCACACTATACAGTATATGCGTATGACTGTCCTAGTAATCTTTCAGTGGACTCCAACTTACCATCTTTCTAACTCTAACTCAGAAAAAAATACTTTCAGGATATAAGCATTCGCTATACAGATGGTTCCCAGCTTGACAGTGTTCGAATCTGCGATTTTTTTCCCCCACTTTATGCTGGTGTAGAATTGGAAGAATTTGATAGAAACTGTACTGATCACAGAGTATCTCTATTTATATACTTAGGCACTGTTTATTTGTTCTACAAAGCCTGAATAAATCCCAAAACTGAACTGCTTTCTATGAGGTGCCCACCTCCAGGAATAGAAAAGGGGCTTTGGATTTTTTTATAAGAGGAAATAAAAATACTAATCTCCCCTACCAAAAAAGTCCTTATGTAGCAACAAATATTTGTCATCTCCGTATAGAATGAAAAATTGTCTTTATAATAGTGTTCTACATCCGGGTGTAGTGGCATATTCCTGTAATCACAGCACTCGAGAGACTGAGGCAGTAGAATTATTGTGAGTTCAAGACCAGCCTGGGCTGTAAAGTGAGCTCAAAGCCAGCCTAAACTGTGTAGGGAGATGCTATCTAAAAAAAAAAAAAAAAAAAAAAGTGGCAGGTTTTAGGGATATTTATTTAACCTTCTGAGCTTTCAGGCAGATGTGGTGACCTTGCCGGCTCCAGCAGCCTTCTTGTCCACAGCTTTGATGACACCCACAGAAACTGTCTCATAAAATTAATTAAAGAAAGAAAAGAAACTGTCTCATATCGCAAATAGCAAAACGACCCAGAGGTAGGTAGTCAGAGAAGCTTTTGACACACATGGCGGAAGACCGGCCTCAGAAGTGTTTCTCCCAATTGACCATTTAAGCTTAATAGTGAAAGACTGCTTATGACAACAATGCATCGTAAAACCTTCAGAAGGAAAGGAGAATGTTTTATGGAACATTATTTTTGCGTGTGGCAGTTTTTAAATTATTAGTTTTTAAAAATCAATACTTTTTAATGGAAACAACCTGACCAAAAATCTGTGACAGAATTTTGAGACCCATTAAAACAAAGTTTAATAAGAAAAAAAAGAAGTTAGTTTTTCCAGCTAAATTCTTTCAAACACTGTGAGAAACAAGTTGCTGTTTTGCAGGAATAGTTTTTTACATGAGAAATATCAATAAGACTCACATTTAATCTTAGTTGAGAAAATAATCTTGGTGTCTCAAGTGCCTTCGGCCTAAATGCCATGTTATGAAGGTGCAAGCCTTTTGTGTTTGTGGGACTCCAGTAAGGTGTGTGTTGTGGGTTCACGTGAGGAGGTGCAAGCCCTTTGCATTTGTGGGACTCCAGTAAGGCTTGTGTTGTGGGTGTGAGCTACTGATACACAGACTTAGTGCCTGGGTCAAGCAAGGTTCAAGGGAGAGCCCAGAAACCCACACGCAGTCCACTAAGCTTGCTGGAATATTCTGCTCTTTTCCTTCCCAAACTTTTTTCAGGGCTGGAAACAGACCCACTGGTCACATTTTCAGGGGGAGCTCTCTACCACGGGGCTGCACTGCCAGCCCCAAACTGTTAACAATGTCCTTGGGATTGTCTTCCACCGCCATTACCTGCACCCATGACTGCAGAGCCTCTTGCTTGAATGGATTCCCAGCTATGGCTTTAAATGAAGCCTGGTGGTCCTAAGTCTCCTAAGTACCCCAGCACAGCACGGATCCGAGCGGGGCTGAGACCTCTTAGCAGCTCACCTGGCTGCTGCCTGACACTATCGAGCCCCTGCTCACACATCTGCACCCCACGCTGTCCCCCCAGGTCTCACCCAGAGCATACTGCATTTATCTGCCAACAGGATTATGCCTGCTTTGGGTCCCTTTGTCATGAAGCTCTCAGCTTCAGCACCTTCATTTCCAGCCTCTCGGATTCCCTCTGGCATCAGCCCGGTCCTGGGGGACCCCTGAAATCTGGACCCAAATGTGCATCTGTCCTTTCTCCCCCTCTGACAGTTCAGTGCCTGCATTGTCCACTGCACAAAACTAATCACCTCAACATCCAAGTGTAGTGGCATATTCCTGTAATCACAGCACTTGGGAGGCTGAGGCAATAGAACTGTTGTAAGTTTAAGACCAGCCTGGGCTGTAAAGTGAGCTCAAAGCCAGCCTAAACTGTGTAGGGAGATGCTGTCTCAAAATAAATAAAATAAAAATAAAAAGTGGCAGTTGCTAGGAACTTAAGACAATAAAAATACAGTAACTTGTAGTCTTTCGCAAGTGGAACCCATCTACACTTTAGTTGCGTAACCCTGGTTCAAAGTCTCCTGAGGCTTCACAGCCCAGGTTTCCCCCAGTGCTGGACAGAGCCACTCCCCCCTTAGCCCCTTCACACCCTGGCAGTCAGCGTGGGCTGTGGGCAGGAGGCCACGGCTCCTCAGCCCTGCTCCTCTCCATGGGGACCCTAGAGTGTCCACAAGACACCGCAGGGATGCCCCATCCCCCGCAAATGATGTACAGCGGAGCCAACCAAATCCACGGAGCCTTCCGGCCTCCTGCCATTTCTGCTTCCCTTTCGACCTGTTGGAAAGGAAGCACTACGACCAGCTCACAGTCAGGAGGAGGGGGGTTAGGGCTGACCTTTTGTAGGACGTGAACATGTTCAGTTCACCTGCTCTCTCTCCTTCCCTCCCTCTTTTCCTTCCTCTAATTACACCTGTCTTTGGTTCCCTGAGATTCCTAGCCCCTTAAGTTTCTCGTTTCTGTAGCTTCTCTCTTTTCACCTCCTCCTGACCTCCCCTGGCCCTCACGCACCTGGCTCCCCCTCTCAGTCCCACACCCGACATCTCCAAGGCCCTGCAGGCCTCAGGCAGCACTGCAATACTTCTGTTTCTGAGTCACCTGTCACCACAGTGGCTACTCAGGGGTCACCCATGCTCCCTTTGCTGCCGGATCATGTCCACCTGGGCTCTCATTTCTCAGGCCATGAACAGAGTCCCTTGTTTTCTTTGTCTCCCTTCAGAACCTGCATACAGCCTTGTCCCTTGCTTGTCCCCTTGGGCCACTGTGGCCAGTATAGAGCACTGTCTCACCTAAGTCCTCAGCCTGATGTTAGAAACCCCACGCCACAAGAAGCAAGGGAGGAAGAAGCACACGCCCAGGCCAGACATGGAAGAAGCAAGCAGAGGCAGAGGCAGAGACTGGGGCAGTGTGAGTAGAACTGTGGGGGCTGGAGATGGGACATGGGCACAAGCAACTGGACAGCGTGCTGCTGCCCAGAGGTCGCCCCAGAGGACAGAGGGTTTCCACCCTCATCCTGTCATCCAGGCCGCTTCCGGGGTAGCCCTTGCTCACGCCAGAACAGTACTTGTCAAGCTCTGCCCCAGACACAACAACATGATGAACGACACGACGCATGACACGACCCTTCGAGGGGCAGACGCTCAAGGAGCATACATGTCAGAAGCAAAATGAAGCCAGGGTGGTAGCGCAACCTGGAACCCCAGCACTCGGGAGGCCAAAGCAGGAGGATCCAGGCAAGTTTGTGGCCAGCCTGGGCTACATGATGAGATCTTGTCTCAGACAAACAAACAAAAAATGAGTCCCAACCCCACTACTGTTGGAGGCTGAGGCAGGAGAATCTCAAGGTCAAGCCCAACCAGCAACCTACTGGCCAATCTAAGGACTTAGTGAGATCCTGTCTCAAAATGAACACAAATAGCAATGACAACAGCTAAAGGGCTTGGGATGTAGCTCAGTGCAAAAACCCTGGGTTCAATCCACAATACCAAAAAGAAAGAAACAAAAAAGAAAAGGAAGAAAAGCCGGATCCTATCACCCCCC